ACTGTGGGCAGGGTGGTCACAGTGGTTCTTCTAAGCTTGTCCCCAGGGCCGGTGGAAGAATTCTGATGCCAAGGCTTCTCTTCCTAGGACTCTGTTTCCTTGAATGATTCCTTCTCTTCGTTTTCTGCACATGATGCTTTTACATGCTGGGGACAAGCATTGAAGATGAGTCTGTATTCTGACTTCTCAGTGATGTGTGCTTTAGCGCAGCGGTCCCCAATATTTTTGGCACCGGGGATCGGTGCTCCTCTGAGACTTTAATGCCTCATGGTCTGAGGTGGAGCTGAGGCAGTGATGTTAGTACTGGGGAGCAGATGCAATACAAATGAAGCTTCGCTTGCTTGCTCACTGCTCACCTGCTGAGTGGCCCTGTTCCTAACAGACCATGCGCCAGTACTGGTCTGTATTTTAGTGGAACCAAAGCAGCCACACTGCATTTAGCCATCTGGGCAGAGGTGAGGGCAGAGTAACGGCTCTGATTTTGCTCTGGGTGGGTAGGGATGACGGGCATTCCACGGTTTAAGGAAGTGGGCGTGGTAGAGACAGATTTGAGTCTAGTCTCATCTCATAAAGACCTATGCTCCTGGGGAAGCTGTAGTTTCCTCAAAATAAGAATAATTGTAGTATATTTCACTTAATCCTCTTATGAGAATTAATTCATTATATTTCGGAGTTAAAGGAAACTTCCAGATAAGATCTTCCCTTAAGTCTCTACTCAGTGCTGCCTCTTTCCCAAAAAGTCCCAAAATCCACCAGTTAGATGCTCTCTCTTCCCTCTTCTAAACACGAGCAGGGTTTGTTTCTTAAGGTACTTATCCCGTTCTGCCCTGCATTATGGTTATTCATATCCTTGATTTATTTCATCAACTGAAAGTATATTACAACATACATAAATAGAACATAAATTAGTGCTAAAAACAGACAGCTCCTGGCTGGCCCCTGCCAGGTGGGATTTAGGGTCCCGTACCTGGCCCTCCAGGACCTGGGCCTGCTTTACCTTTGCAGACTGTCCTGAGCACTTTGGTGCAGATCTCAGAGCTCCTCATATGTGTGCGCATGCAGTTCCCTCTACCTGGAATGGCACCCCCCTCTCCAACATCTCTTATCTGCCTCCTCAAGTAGTGATTAGCATGACTGAAGAATTTCCAGAATGTAAAAGTGCTTTCGAAAGTGCCAAATAACTGTGGCAGCTGCCCACAGTCACTGTTGGGTGAATGGATGGTGATTTGAAAGAAATAGAAATCCTTCAATATGTCGATTGCAACAAGAATGGGGTCCTCCTTGCTTGGGATCTGTGACTCGGCAGCCAGCTGTTTTCCCTCACAATTTCTAATACACACCCTATTGCTTGTTCCCGAGGCCTGCAGAGCAGCCGTGGGAGGAAAGTGATTAGAGGAACTTCAGCTGTTTTGCTCCCTCTGAATGGCCCTCTTTCATCAAGATGTGCAGGGACAAGGGCCTTTTTTAACCCAAATATCAGGGGAAGACGAGAGTTCCACAAGAGCCGGGTGCTTTCAGAGTGGGAACGTCAGCTGAGGACGATGACTCCTCGCTGAAGGATTGTAGCTTCTTCCTCACCTTTCTGCTTTCTCCAGAGGGGTGGAAGGCAGGAGCTCCGGGCGGTTCGAGATGCGACTATCACAGTCATGAACCTTTTTTATTTTACTGACTTCTGCATCTCCCTTCAGCCACCTCCCTACTTCTGCTCTTCAGAGGTTTCCAGACCAAATTAGTACGTATCACCACCTCTGGTTCCCTTTTTTTTTTTTTTTAACCACGTATCTGTGTCTGGGTGATTCTGGCTGTTTATTCTCTGAGGGC